ACGGGAGCTTCGTGCCCTGGATGTGCATCCCACAAATCTCCATCAACTGCAAGATGCTATCCTATCAATATGGGCCAACATTTCTAAAGAATGCTTTCAGCACCTTGTTGAATCAATGCCACATAGAATTAAGGCGGTTCTGAAGGCGAAAGGGGGTCAAACACCGTATTAGTATGGTGTTCCTAATAATCCTTTAGGTGAATGTATATTATTTTTGCATCAAAGATCAACACGGCATTATCTGAATGCAGGGCGCGACACCCGCAGTCGTCCTTATGTCATCTGAATAATGTTAGTATGTTAAGAAATGAAACGCTAGCATAAAGGTGACAGACCTCCACCAATTGTTACGATTTCTAGCCAAATGTAGCATGAATAATTTCGTTTTTAAGCTGTCTCTGCTTTCTAATTTACCCTGTCATTTGCGCTCTATAATGGTGGGTGATGCTCTGCTACCATCGTGCGTTACGCGCAGGCGCCTGCATCCCTGCCAGACCGCCGCAAAGAGCCGGACTCGGTTACCTGACGGCCGAAAGCCGAGCGCAGTGACTGTCCTAAACGAGAGCAGCGTGCCTGTCCACCTTAACGCCACATCGTAGCGACCTCGTACGGGCTTCCCCTCTCCCAGTATGGCTGATAAGCCAGGATCACTTCCTATTCGGGGTCATCGACACAAGAGGCGACAGTACAGCGTTTATCATCACGATGTCGGACAGCGCCCCCGCATGGCTGTTCATCTACACCCCCTTCTCAGAAAAGATCGCACACTAATAGTCTTGAGATGTTATACAAATTAAACACAGTATTAATAAGATATAACATAATATAAACTACATATTTATTATACTGCAATCGGAACCAATCCTACATAATTGCTGATTTTAACATCTCTCCCTGTGTCTTCACCTCTTTCCACCGCTGGAGACAGAGGTCAGGATGTTTTAAACCAGGGTTCTCCAACTCCGGCCCTGGAGTGGATTATGAAGGAAGATGTAGTTTTGCTTGAATGGGAAGCAAGAGTGCATACAGGGGCTGAAAGCTGATTGGCTATTGGGGCGCCCCTCCCTATTCCAAAACATATCATTGGTAACTGAAAGTTTGGCCCCTTTGTATGAATTATGGCCCCTCTCATGCCGCTCAACTTAGAATTGCTCCTGATGGAGAATGTGTTGCGGTTTCCATAATCATTTACAGAATCAGATTCCCCTTCAGAAACAGTTGATATTTTGTACATATACATTGAGTTGAAGATTTCTCCCTGTCTATTCACCACCACCAGAGACATAAAATCAAATGAGGATAGTTTTAAGTTCTGATGAAGACACACCAAATTTTATAGTGCTTGGGGAAGGTAGAAGAAGGGTGGAAGCGATTAAAAAGAATATGGTTAATGTTACTGGTGTGAGAATGCCATCTGCTCAGTGAGTCCTACCTTTCCTTTTCATAATCCCCTTATCGATCTTTAGTCCTTTATAACTGAAATAACTGAGCAACACATTACCTTTGCCATGGCAATTTCTGGGTTCAAATGATGGCGCTTACAATGTTTTTCACCTGAGATGCCTTGACCACTTCGAATGTTTTAACAGAATCATACTCATACTGTAGGGTAGCTCTCAGTCACAGCTGTCAAACAGCACGCAAATATACAGTCTCTTTACCAAGACCGTCCTGACCTCTCTAGCTAAAGATGTGCATCATTTTTGTTCTTCTATAGTTTACAGAATAGGAAGGTCTATAGTTTACAGAATAGGAAGGTCACTTTTTAGTTCAGAGTCAATTCCATTGCATAACTCAATTTGTTTGGTATTGCGTGTTGACACACTGCTTCTGAAGTAAAGTAAATAAATGGCCAAATGGCCAGTAAGATTCAGCAAATGATTACCTGATTACATTACTTCTAGATACATTCCATTACGACTACATACATATTAAAGGAGATCAACTGAGCATTTTCNAATTGCTGATTTTAACATCTCTCCCTGTGTCTTCACCTCTTTCCACCGCTGGAGACAGAGGTCAGGATGTTTTAAACCAGGGTTCTCCAACTCCGGCCCTGGAGTGGATTATGAATTTGGACTGGATTATGAAGGAAGATGTAGTTTTGCTTGAATGGGAAGCAAGAGTGCATACAGGGGCTGAAAGCTGATTGGCTATTGGGGCGCCCCTCCCTATTCCAAAACATATCATTGGTAACTGAAAGTTTGGCCCCTTTGTATGAATTATGGCTCCTCTCATGCCGCTCAACTTAGAATTGCTCCTGATGGAGAATGTGTTGCGGTTTCCATAATCATTTACAGAATCAGATTCCCCTTCAGAAACAGTTGATATTTTGTACATATACACTGAGTTGAAGATTTCTCCCTGTCTATTCACCACCATCAGAGACATAAAATGAAATGAGGATAGTTTTAAGTTCTGATGAAGACACACCAAATTTTATAGTGCTTGGGGAATGTAGAAGAAGGGTGGAAGCGATTAAAAAGAATATGGTTAATGTTACTGGTGTGAGAATGCCATCTGCTCAGTGAGTCCTACCTTTCCTTTTCATAATCCCCTTATCGATCTTTAGTCCTTTATAACTGAAATAACTGAGCAACACATTACCTTTGCCATGGCAATTTCTGGGTTCAAATGATGGCGCTTACAATGTTTTTCACCTGAGATGCCTTGACCACTTCGAATGTTTTAACAGAATCATACTCATACTGTAGGGTAGCTCTCAGTCACAGCTGTCAAACAGCACGCAAATATACAGTCTCTTTACCAAGACCGTCCTGACCTCTCTAGCTAAAGATGTGCATCATTTTTGTTCTTCTATAGTTTACAGAATAGGAAGGTCTATAGTTTACAGAATAGGAAGGTCACTTTTTAGTTCAGAGTCAATTCCATTGCATAACTCAATTTGTTTGGTATTGCGTGTTGACACACTGCTTCTGAAGTAAAGTAAATAAATTTTGGTAACTTTGGGACAAAGGTGAGGCCAAGAGAAAGTGTCCATAGTGGCAGATTGTAGGAACAAGAACACAGAGCTCTGTTAGCTCTCTGATGAGTGGGTAAGCTGAGGTTAAACTGGAATTGACAGCTAATGGCTTTAACATGGTCTGATGGGTCACTGGCAACGAGAGATCTGGGAATGGCGCGAGGGTTGGGGGCACGGGGGGAAGAAATTAATGGGAGTGGGAGGGTGAGTGAGTGATCGATCCAATCAGTCAGCAAGACATGTTCAAACAAGGGAGCCTGCGATGATGAGGCATGGGCCGACCTGCAGGAAGGGGCAGGTGGGATGGAGATGGGCATGGGGGACGCGGGGAGTCCGAGGTCCAAGGACATCACTGTGTAAGTTGGAACGGAGCTGGAATTCAGTGCTCCCCCCCCCCCACCTCTCTTTTTATATAATTGTTTCATGACGCATTTATCTTCACTGACATCACAACAATAAACACGTCCTTGATGACGCGCCTTGCAGAGTCTCCGCAATTTTAAAGTAAAAAGTAATATAATGTGATACAGTGTAGACATACACCGGGTATTGAAAGGCAGTTTTTCACCCCCCCCCCCCCCCTTTATACCCCAAAAGATCCTCCCCAGCAAGGTGCTGTGTGTAGGTGTTTGTTAGTGAATTTACATATAAAGAGTGACGTCCTGGACTGTGAGGAGCCTGAGACAGGGACAGAACGGAGATTTCCAGTGAGAGCAAATGGTACCTCAGCCACTTCTCTGGCTACTGTCAGTTGAATTATCTTCCTTAGCACCCTAGTGGTGCCGACTGGAACCCCCATTCTCTCCCAGACCCCCATGATCATAACTTGCTTTAGCCCCCCTAAGATTTGTACTCAGCCCCCCTAAAAATTCTCAATAAACTTTACACAAATTGGTGATCGGCCACGTCCCCTTTAAATTTCATATGAAAACGGCGGCAGACTTCGGCTCCGCAACGTCTTTCAGCGCGGTCTTCAACTGAAGCATCACAGACTGCGGCATCACAGAGTGAGGTTTAAGCCAAGGTGTGTGTTTTTCGATAAATTGTTATATCTGCATCAGTGCAGTCCTTTTTCATAAATACAGTTTACAAAAAATGTCAAAATTTTCGCTGTGTTAAGTCATCACACCAGCTGTTTCCTCTAGCGAAAAGGAAGCCCTTAATACTTACCCTATTAACCTATAGTCTACTTTATAAAACAATGATGCTGTTTTAATTGGAAAACCTAACTGTCTATATAAAACATTACACAGTGCATGGCATTAACTGCCATAGAGTTATGCACATAAATGATTAATTAAAAACAGTGACAGACAGCATTCAATGCACTCGTTTTAACTGCATAGCAGTGTGATTTACAGAGATAGAAAAATCCTGTTTTTTCTGTAATAAATATTGTATTAAATAATGTCCCAGATCGTGAAAAACATTTATTAGCCTTAGAGTAGCGTTTTTTGTCACTTTGATTTAGAAAAAGTTACTTTTTTAATGAATAGAAACAAAAAAGAATGATATAAAAAAGACATTTTGTTTAATTACATATTATATTACACTGTTAACCCGAAAGTTCTTTCTATGCAAACAGTTTGAGTAAATATCACTATAAAAAAATAGTTGTGTTGCATTACTTAAACAGTATGAGTATATGAAGAGTGTTTGAGACAGTCATTGGGTGTACTCATTTTTTATAAGTTTAACTAACTTAAACTATCAAGTTTTACCTCGGGCCACAGTGCTGCCCTGTTGTGATTGGCTGAAAAGTCCAGACAAGTCTTTGCTTGTCCGTTGGAGGATACAGAAAAAGTTGTGCCATTTTCTTATAATTACAAAGCAATTTAAGGTCTGTGCACTTTGTATGCTCCTTGGACAATACATTTTCT